CTTTCTTTCTTTCTTTCTTTCTTTCTTTCTTTCTTTCTTTCTTTCTTCTTTCTTTCCTTCCTTCCTTCCTTCCTTCTTTATTTCTTTCTCTTTCTTTTCTTTCTTTCCTTTCTTTTCTTACTTTTCTTTCTTGACAGTGTCTCACTGTATAGCATAACTAATTGTGTAGACCAGGATGAACTTGAATACACAGAGAGTTGCCTGTCTTTGTCTCTGGGGTGCTGGGATTAAAGGCACCACCATGCCTAGCTAAGCTTACTTTCTTAAATTTAAATTCATTTTAAAGGATATTTCTCACTACTACAAATTAAAATCAGTATCACACACTCTAAATGCAAGGTAAGTCTAAGAAAGGCAGCATCCATGTTTAGAAATGATTTTGTAAAGACTTACCTATAAGATACAGAACAGTGGGGAAAGAAAGCTCCCACTTATGTTTGAAAAGATGCTTCCTTCATGAGCTTTCTCAGCATGAACTCATGAGAAGCTGATGGTTGTCATCTTCAAGGAGCCTCAGAACAGTTGAGAGACTTTAAATTCAATTACCCTTTGCTACCATTTCAGTTCCACACTATGTGAATATATCATGTATTATTAAAAAAAAAAAATCAGCTGGAAAGATGGCTCAGCAGTCAAGAGCACTGGCTGTTCTTCTAGAAGACCCAAATTGGATTCCCAACATCCACATGACAACTCACAACTTTCTTAGTTAGGGTTACCATTTCTGTGATGAAGCACCACAACCAAAAACAACTTGGGGGTTTGTTTGACTTACACTTCTACATCACACTTCATCATCAAGGGATCAGGACAGGAGCTCAAGCAGGGCAGGAACCTTAGGACAGAAGTTGATGCAAAGGCCATGGATGGTTCCTTGTTACTGGCTTGCTCAGCCTGCTTTCTTATAGAACCCAGGACCAACAACCCAGGGATGGCTCCACCCACAATGGTCAGTGCCCTCCCCAGTCAGTCACTAATTAAGAAAATGCCCAACAGCTGGGTCTTATGGAGACATTTTCTCAATTGAGGTTCCCTCCTTTCAGATGGCTCTGGCTTGTGTCAAGTTGACATAAAACTAGCCAGGACAACTATCTGTAACTCCAGTTTCAGAGGATCTGCCACTCTCTTCTGGCCTCCACAGGTACTGCATGCACATGGTACATAGACCCATACACATAAAATGAAAATAAATAAAACAAAATTAATAAAAAACACATAAAATTTATTTAAATTGATCATCAGTGTATAAATTTTATATATTATCATATTTTTACTCTAGCTAGATTCTTTTGCTTGTAATTAAGTTTGAGGTGAAATTTCTTTTTGTAAAGGTATAAAGATAGACTAACAGCAGGCTGAAACTATTTGGATTAGTCAAAGGGATTAAATGGGAACTGAAATTAACTCTTGACAGTTTGACTCACTGCTCTTTAATGTCACGTCTAGGTAACACCTAAATTGATTCCAGCCTTACCAAATATCATTTCACCTGTTGGAGGCCAGTCTACTGTAAATAGATAGTTCCAGGACAGCCAGAGCTGTACAGAGAGACCCTATCTCAAAAAAAGAAAAAAAAAAAAAGAAAGAAAGGAAGGAAAGAAGGAAGATAGATTTTATAATGGGAGGGGTTTTATTTTTCAAGATTTTGTTTATCTGTGTATACGAGTGTTTTACCTGTGTATATGTCTGTAATATACATACTTGGTGCCCTTGGAGGCCAGAAGAGGGCATTAAATCCCTTGGAACTAGAGTTACACATACATAAGTAAAAATAAAATAAAATATAATTGAAAAAATACCTAGAATATGCAAAAACTTAAAAAAAAAAAAGCAAGAATAAATAGTTCTGAAAATACAAATACAAATGATCAATAAACATGAAAAGAGGTTCAACTTCACTAGCCATGAGGGAAATGCCTTATATTGAGATCCATCTTATCCCATTCAGAATGGTAGTCACTAAGAAAACACAACAAAAGCCGGTGAGGATGTAGATTACAGAGAGCTCTTATATTGCTGGTGGTAGTGTAAACTAGTCCTAGCCACAGTTAAAATCAATATGAAGATTTCTCAGAACTAAAAATAGGTCTTCTGTGGGAGTGTGGAATGACAATCTGAACAAACATCTGCTCACTGCAAACAGTGACCTAATGAGACTAAAGTATGGGTACCACCAGAGTCCAACTTGGGAACTTGATACAAGTTTGGGTGAGGAGTTAGTTACAGGAGCAGAAATATCTAAAGATAGAGGCATCACCAAAAGCCAACCGTAGCATGAGTGACAGGTCAGGGAAGCTGGAAATCTAGAGTACACTAGAACTTACAGCCAACCTGACAGGTTGGAGAGTGTCTCTTCCAGGTAGCATCATGTGTTATATGTATATGCCATAACTATCCCCAGAGACAAAGGGGACTAACAGGAAGAAAAGGCACTAGATGTGACAGAATGAAGTGGGGAGTATGCTCAGCATTCAATATTTGTACAAAAACATTTCTAAAATAAAATTATTTCTTTAAAATTCTCCCCAAGCCTGGAGAGATGGTTTAGAAAGCACTGGCTACTCTTCCAGAGGTCCTGAGTTCAATTCCCAGCAATTACATGGTGGCTCATAACCATCTGTAATGAGATTTGGTGCCCTCTTCTAGCATGCAGGCATAAATGCAGGCAAAACATTGTATACATAATAAATAAATCTTTTTTTTTTTTTTTTAATTTCACCATTGGGGGAAAATCTCTCCAAACAAGCTAAAAGCTAGGGATTTTTTGATGTCTGGGCCAGAGATTCTGGGGATATAGATAGCATGGACTTCAAAAACTGATGTTACAAGATTGGATGGTTTTGGAGTATATTTGAGAAGCACAAATAATAATTTGCGAGCCTAACTCCGTGGCTTTGAATGTGTGCGTGACTCTTGGGGCCTCCCTCTTTCATTATCTTTAATACTTTCAGGGTCTCTCAAGTCATCTAGGCTTAGAGGTGAGTGACTGTCAGAGAAACAAGATAAAGAAGCATTAGGGAGAGCTCTTTGAGAAATTGCATGAGTAAATTAGGTAGATTCCAGAAGCAAAATCTTTCTTAGAGAGTCACTAAAAATAGGGAAGTGTAGTCACTAGAAAATCTTTGATAATTTCAATGTTTGGGAGGCAGAGACAGGTGGATCTTGTGAGTTTGGGGTCAGCCTGATCTACTTAGTGGGATCTAGGCTTGCCAGTGCTACATAGTGAGACTCTGTCTCAGAAAAAGGAAAAAAAAACATAAAACAAACAAACAAAAAAAAAGAAAAAACCTTTGGTATCTCAGGAAACCTTTAGAAGAACATGACCCATAACACATTTGAAAAGTTCATGATGTCATTACTGGTATGTCAGTTAGGATAAATATTTTATTGTTAAGCAGAAAAGGGAATAATGCATGTTGGTGCTTGAGGAAGATCAGCCCCATCCTGTCTCATTGAGGGAGAGGCAGATCTGCTGCTCTGGTTTCTCTGGAGGTTCCTAATCCACATACTTACTGGTCCACACTACTCTGCAGCACTGTGGTAGTCGCCATATTGGATTTGGACACTGTGTTGAGTGACGACAGTGGTGATTTGGTGGTCTGTTTAGGAAAACACAAGTCTTCAACCCAGTGGTCCCATTAGGTGTTGTCAGCTTTTACTTTGTTAAAGGACACTCACTCCTCATCTTTTGTAAACAGAAAGAGAACATCTTTCCTATTTCCCCGTCTTCCTGTGTCATGTGACGAGGCTGCTCTGCTGGGTGCTGCCCCACCCAGAAGCAGTTGGCTTTCTGTAAGTGGAAACCGTTACATCTGTGCTGAACCTTGTGGTGCTAGTAAGACCCATATGGCCTTTATAGAGTTTGGTTGCTGAACAGATGCTAAAGAGGAAGTTGAATTATGTCTCCAGTAATCTCTCATCTCAACTCTCTCCTCCAGAGTGTAGATCAAGGCCCAAAGCCTCTGATAATTGGCCCAGAGGAAGATTATGACCCAGGTTGTTTCAGCAATGAGGTAAATTTTCTGGCTTACTCCTTTTACCCTCCTTTCTTGCTTTAACCACACTGCCCTTGACTGGAAACATTTAATTGGCATCAGCTTTGAAAGGATCCTATAGGGAAGGACGCTTAGCTAACAGGGCCTAGAAGGTAGAAAGCATGAGAGTAAAGTGTGCCTTCTGTCTCCTGTCTCTGTGCCTCCCAGCCATTCTCATTTTTCTGCCTTCCAGAGTGACATCATCTTCCAAGATCTTGAAAAACTTAAGTCACATCCAGCTTACCTGGCAGTTTTTCTACGTTACATATTCTCTCAGGCAGACCCTGGCCCCCTGGTAAGTGAGAAGTGTCAGTCTTTTTGGAGTACTCTTTATGCTCAGCACAGAGAATCTCTGACCACTATGCTTGGTCTCTCTATGTGTTCAGCTTTTAATGTCAGATCTATGGGCAGAGTCAGGTGTCTCAAGGACAGAGACAAAACAGAAGAGAAGATGGCACCTGTTGCATCATTTGGCTAACCATACTTGTAGCCAAAGGGATGCAGCTAACCATATGTAACCCAAGATCTAGGCCAGGAGGACTGTTATTCTTTGTCAGTCTAGGAAGTCATCGGAGTTTTTTAAGTGAAAGTGGATACAAATTGAGGAGTTGAGAGAATCACCCTTACAGAGTTATGGTGTTGCTAAAGATTTTTGTTGCTAGGGGCAAAGCACTAAAGAGGCTTCTATCTAAGGTGATGGCTTAAGGAATACCTGTAGGGGCTGGCTGATGGCTCCTGCCTTTAATCCTAGCACTCAGGAAGCAAAGGCAGGGGGTCTCTGAATTCAGGGGGTATACAATGAGACCCTATCTCAAAAAAGGGGGGCATATGAGAATATGAATGAAGAACACAGTGCCCCAAGGTGTTGTACAGAGCCACCCCCTTATACCCCCTCTTTTTCCTCTTACCTGCATAGCAACAAGGTGTGATGGTAGAGAAAGGTCATTGTTCTATTCTTCAAAGTAAACCTCTCACCCAACCAAGGAGTTGCTGGGTTTTGTTGTTATTTTGGTTTTGGTTTTGTTTTATTTTGTTTCTGGAAATACTACAGTTAGAGGCCAGAACAAACATTGATTTGCTCAAGTGAAATTCATTGAATGCCTGTTTGTTTAGTCCCAATGCTGATGTCTCAGAAGGTTCCTGAAAAAAGTCACACATCACCAAGAGAAACAAAATAAAAGCCCTTCAGGAATATAAACAAGTGAAGATACCACTAAAAATGTCAAGTGTGAAAGAAAACACAGTAAAGGAATGATGAGCCTGAAATATGTTCATGGGAGGGAGACTGAGATTGCTTAAGCTTGTCAGCCTCATATTGTTGATAGTTTAGACTAAGAAGTCTTCCTTGTGGGAGGTGATCTTAATTTGGGGATATTTGGCCTCTTACTAGACTCTACCCCTAGATGGCAGTAGGAACCTCCCCCTAGTAAATTCAACAACCCAGTTTCTAACCCAGTTTCTCTCTCATTCTAGCTTTTTTATTTGTGTTCAGAAGTTTATCAACAGACAAATCCCAAAGATTCCCGGAGTTTGGGGAAAGACATCTGGAATATTTTCCTAGAGAAAAATGCGGTAAGGTCATCATAAGTTAGATTACAGTTCCATACTCTACACCAAAAACAGAGGAAAAGCAAACAAAATAACCATGCCAAATAGAGACGTGTGTGTGTGTGTGTGTGTGTGTGTGTGTGTGTGTGTGTGTGTGTG